TTGAATCCCCCAACTTCGCATTTGCCGAATGAACCCATTGCTCTCTTCGAGTTGATCTTCCTCGCTCACTACCATTCTATTTGTGAGTCTCAACTCTTACATTAAACTTAAGTGAAGTTACCATACTTTCTGTGAGGGTACTTTTTTATTTATTTTATTGACATTTGACAACGGATATAATGGGGAAAATAACAATAATTCAATATATTGTTCCCGTTAAAATGTTAATGAAGATGACAATACAAAGATATGCAGATTTTAAAATATATAAAATTGGTTTGCATTGAGAAGAAAATTGTCTATTTTAGATTATAAAGAAAAAATGTAAAAACATAAAATGCTTTCATTTAACAACGCCTGCCAGTTAAAGTAAAAAATGTATATTTATATTGGAAAATATTTATATTTTTCAGGTTATTTTATTTCCATGCCAGAAAGAGTAATTGAAGCCAATATCCACCATATGAACCCAAATCTTGCTTCTAAGTATTGAAATTAATTTTATTACTTCATATTTTTCATGACGTAACTAATAAAATTTAAACTATTTATATTCCGAGAATTGTGAAATAGAATCACATAAGATCTTAATGAAAGCAATCTGCTAATTAGGATGCAGTAGTTAACACTAATTTGAATTCTTTTAATAAACTGTATTATTTTTGCTTCTTGTAATTTATTAACTTAAGGGTGATACTAATGAATCGTGATCTTCATTCAATTAGAGACAATATTCAAAAACACACATTCATATTATTGTTCTCAACTGAGATTTTCAGATTAGGAGTACATAGGCATTTGTACAGACAGACGAGATTGCAAATTGACAGGTGAGTTATTGCAAGGGAGCAGTAGAGTTAATTAGTTCGCTACAGTCCATGCAATAGTCCACAATGTCAATTGGAAAACAGCGCCAGCCCAGCTGGCATCACGGTTACATGAGTTGCATTGATAGCGGTTCGACACAATCGATTTGCATGTGTGCCCATAAAATGAGTGAGATTACACATTTCTAAAATTGTGAAAGTGAGAATGGATTATTGATATTAGTTTTGGTGGAATTATCCACATTTACATATGCGTGTGAAACTAGTGATTCTACAATCGCAAATATTCTCTCTCTTTCTTTCTAACTTTTGCAAATGTTAAAAAATGCAAGAAGTACAAAGAAAATGAAACTTTTACCATTTATAAGCCTTCTTTACTCTACCCAAGGGACAAAATACGACAAAATGTGGACCTTTTTCGAGAATTGGTTTATAAATTGCATTAACATCTACCAAAAATTAAGCAGAAACATTCTTATAACTTAATTTAAAATTTTAAAAACAGATTTCTCGTAAGAAAAAGCTATCAATAATACTGAACTTTTGCAATGTTAATGTTTGGCAATTTTGAAAAATAAAGAAAGTTCACTTTGGAGCCGTGAAGGTCGAGATATGCCGCTGTCCAGAGGAGAATAGTAGTGGTCGGTTGGTTTTATCGGCAGTTTTCCGTGGTTTCTACAATCAACACTGCGAGGGTGCAAGAGCAGTACCTTACAACACGGCCCACGAGCCACGCGCGATATTTCCTCCCTCTTCCTTGCAGTGCGATCTAACCTCACCGCTTACCTACACACAATTACAATTACATTTATGACCCAACCACAGAGTTGCTGGATTAAGAGTTTGTCTCGACTCGTGCGGTGTCCCGTTGGTGGGAGATACCTGCTTAGGAAAAACTCCGCAGGCCGACGGGTAGGTCGGAGACAGATTTCACCATCCAGCGGGGAATGATCACCGCTCTCCCCCGCTATAAAAACGTGCACTACACGTTATGAACTAATGACCGTAGCAGTTGGTGCGCCCAGAATCACCAATAAATCAGTAAAAGCCAAGATTTCAGCTGAGTGAACTAGATTCAAATGCGCTACGTATATGCATGGTGATCGAAAATAATGTTTTCACATTCAAAATCCTTGATCTGGAGATCAAACTAGGTTCTGGAGAATGCCTTCATGCCCCTACTTCTCTCACATACACACCTTCTTCTTTCTACCGTCTAGTCATTCGCGTCTACCGAATAGGGTCTTAGACTAGACTCGCTCGCCAAACGGCTGAAGTCTAACACCTCTGGCCGCCGATCAGCACAGAAAATCTTTCGAACCCCAACACCAACACTGACGAACCCCGCCGTCGCAAGCCTAGAACGCATCTAGTGGACATAGTCGTGGAACACGCGTTGCGCGACACGTCGCAGGGATGTCCTGCTACATTTTTCCGTGTTGGGAACTGTCGTTATACAAAAGCAGCATGACGCAGGTCTTCAATTTGAAACGGGATTAATAATACAAATGTTGCGCAACATGATGTAGTCTGGATGTGTTATGAGACACAGTCCCGGGCCACGTCGATTCACGTGTAGTCTTTTGTGATCTGTTTCGAGATGAAAACTATTTTTGAAATTATTGAAGATTTAGACACCCTCCATTGCCTTCGGAATATTAACTCTACCCTGTATAAAAATATACACAAAGGAGGGAAGCACTGAGGTCACTGATAAAAAATGCACTATGTCCATTGACGAGATAGGAAAAAAGATCCACAACAATAAATCACAAATTAGACGAGAGCACAATAACCTAGGGAATTAAAAAAAGTAGCTCTTCCCTACAAAAGTCAAACTGGTTTGGTTACCTACCTTCAATGTTTTTACTGCAAGGGATGGACTCGAAAGTAAATAATTATTCAATTGTCTATATTTCTAAGCTACGATAGCTTACAGTAACTTGGAATACCTAAATGCATATAGAGCAAAATATTTTTATACACGTGTTCTCATTAGGTCAGTTTTGAAAATAATTCATTTTTTCGGAAACGAGTTACAATATCTGAACCAGAGTTTTCACTTCCTATGTTCTAGGAACGCTTGCACTACGGAACTTGTGTGAAATTGATGATCAACGAGCCAAGACCGATAGCGGAGCAAAGATTGATGATGGAGCAAATGAAATTTCTGCACTTATTCATAATTGTGTTATTACTACCAAGTGCCTCAAATAGAAACGTATATTATTTTATTCACATTGATTTGTTAGGTATTCTGTCATTTACGTTTGTGTTGCTTAACGAACTAAGATCTTCAATTGAATACCTATTCACAGCCAGTCGAGACAAACTTGAGACCGATTTTAGACTTTCACCTCGTCGTTTTATTTGCCGTAATAAGAAAAGGGATAATTTAGTTCTAATTTCTCATACACATTCACAATTCAATTACAACTCTTACATTAATCGCCAATATGATAGTGTCAGGACAGGATTGGATTGTGTTACCAGGTTAGGATTGTGCAACTGCGTTAGACCGATTTTAGGCTTTCACATCATGGTTTTATTTGCCGTAATAAGAAACGGGATAATTTAGTTCTAATTTCTCATACAAATTCACAATTCAATTACAACTCTTACATTAATCGCCAATATGATAGCGCCAGGACAGGATTGGATTGTGTTACCAGGTTAGGATTGTGCAACTGCGTTAGACTGATTTTAGGCTTTCACATTGTGGTTTTATTTGTCGTAATAAGAAACTGGTTAATTTAGTTCTAATTTTTCATACACATTTACAATTCAATTACAACTCTTACATTAATATCCAATATGATAGCGCCAGGACAGGATTGGATTGTGTTACCAGGTTAGGATTGTGCAACTGCGTTAGGCGCAATCCACATGCAACCTGGATCACTACCATTACACAGGTCAGAGCACCAATGAATTCACGAGACAATAGATTCCGGAAAACGATATGTATTATAGCCATGTCTGCGTGAAAATCGTAACACTTTATAATTAAGTATATGGCAGAACTTAGGGCAATGTCCCAGCCACAGTGAGGACGACACTGGAATCGACTCTGGATCGAAAATACTGAATCCAACCACAGTCTCAGACAAAATACGGGGGTTGGGGGCATAAGTCATGCCAACTATTTTTTTGCGAGAATACGAGCACGAATGAAAAATGTGAAATATTCGCATGAAATAACAAGGTATGAACTAAGTGTATGGGAATTGAACGGCGTATCTAAATTGGGTTTCTCATATTTATTAAGGTATTTGAAATGACTGTTGTCATTTTCCAAAAAAAATTGTCAAATACGAGGTCACAACATTCCAAAAGCATTACATACCCGTTCTTAAGGCCCTGATTGGACAGATGCTCGATTAGTGGACGTGCCACATGGGTGCGCACACTCACAGGTCGTCACGTGCCTTACCAATCGCTACTGCGCGTCCTCGCGGAAATACTCCTGCCCATCTCCCGACTGTCAAGTGTTGAAGGTCGTTATTTCCAAGAGCGACCACCAATTCCCCGTGACATTCTGACGCATTTCGTCATAGAAAATTACAGACGTGGGAGCATGAGTGCTACTCGAAACATATTACATTCACCTCGCACAGCGGCACAATGATTTCACATTGCTCTCTGTGTTACCAGAGACACTCGCATAACCATCTCTTGTTGTGAACACATTATTACAGCATATCTTTCACGCGACGAATAAATTGTTTGATGAGGTTACATTCATTTTAGAAAACAGTGGCCATGTCTTCGGCGCTCTCCTAGTTTCATAATCTTAACGATAAATATCGGGAACTCTAATATATCAAATTACATGTGTGCAAACCCCTTCGAGATTGGTGGGAAGATATAAAAAAGACAGGAGGCTTTGAAAATGACACGATAAAAAAGGTTCGAGAGAGGACGTTTTGACGTTTGTTATTAACTAAGGAAGTAATTTTTCAAAAATAATAGAAGTTGTGTAATAGTTCCAAGAAATGTTTGTGACAAGATGTGCCCCGGGAACTTAACTAAATTGAATTGAGCGTTGAAGTTCGCGACGAGAAATCTACTATCTAAGAAGATTCAAGATAAATTAACCTATTTCGTTTACGCGCTAGCATGTGTGCAAAGTTGCAGATGCGATATCCGTCGCAATGAAATGAGCAGACTTACCTCGTGCGCACTGAGCTGCAGAAACTGCAGCGCTAGCGCTAGGCCGTTGTGACCATCCCAGGCGTTGATGTCCAGACACAGTCCTTGAGTTACATAGACAAGAATTGCGTTTGGACAATCACAGCCAGGAACTTGGGCGACGGTTCACGAGATCAAATCGCCTTCAAATTGACTGAAAGAGACAAAACGAAACAAAAGAAAATTAAAAATAAAAAACGAACGTTTTGGACAAAATAAAAATAAAATATTTATACAAGTCACGTAAAACTATTATAACGAGACCATAATAACCACAATAATAATAATAATAATAATAATAATAATAATAATAATAATAATAATAATAAAAATTAAATCGTTCACATAACTGTAAAGATATGATATTCAAAAACCGAGGAAAAAAGAAAGCTAAACGAGTCACGCCAAATGATTTAACCCCAAGAAAAAGGCCAACCAAAGCCCAAAAAACAACTAAAAACCGAATCGAATCGATAAGAGCGTAGCAGTGAAGACAGCAGTCGGAGCCGCTGGAGCGACTGCAGCAGCCGCTGAAGGGGGCGGCGCGGGGTCGGCGGCAGGCGTCGCCCGGGGCGTCCATCGCCCCCCGGGCGGTCGCCCCCGCCGCCCCGGCCGCCCCGCCCCCGCCGGTCCAGCGCCGATCCAGCGCCGGGCGGCGCCGCGCAGCCTATGCATGAGGCTTAATCCCAATCAAATCATCTGTATTTCAATAAAAATATCGGAAGACGGCCGCGCACGCCGCTGTCCCCGAACCGATACAAAAACGCCCGTCCCCACGCGCCGGCCGGGCGCATGCATATGTGATCGGGCAACTACCATGCAAATGCCCGCTCTTGTCGTGCGGCGCACGTTCAAAAACGGCCTCCAGCCCGCGACGTGGCGGGCAGCCGCGGCGGCGGTGCGCGGGATGGCTGGGGCGACGAACGGCGGTCGTGAGCGGTGGTGAAGTTCGAAAGCTGCTTCTAGTTTTAATGAAGTGCACAGTTTCTGTGCTGTATGCGGCGGTTAGGGAAAAATGAGGTATAGCGGGTGATAATACAAGTTATAAGGGTGATGGTAGATGAAATGAAAACTTGGCTTGGTGATCGTGATTGGGACAGTGATTTTGGTTGGGGTGGTGACGGTTGGGGTGGAATTTGTTCCAGGGAATTCGTGGATGGAATAGTGATAATGCCATCGGAAACAGAAGTAAGATTGCAAGTAAAAACTTTCGAGAGCATGTTATTAGCTTATACGGGAAGAAGTTCAAATAGTAGACATAATAATTTGTAATATGTCAATTGTCTACATTTGCTATGATAAATATCAATTACCAAAGGCCATGAAAGTGATAACAATACCGAACAGGTGATTGAACAGTAGATGTATTAGGAGTATAAGCGTCAGTCATTAGTGTCTTTAAATATTTCAACGGAACTTTAAAGGAAAGAGGTTACAACAAAGCGATGGAAGTATAGTACTAGAAACAGCATGTTTCATAATCCAAACATGAGCGTAAATTATTTTTAGCAGGTATGTGCAATAGATACACTCGAAGTTGTCTGGTGCCAGAATTCATTTGATGCCGTGCCACAAGAGCAAAATGACCAGCTCGTTCCGGGCAAGGCGCAGCAATAGCTATGGAAACCCCGCTGTAGGGGGAGACAGGGGGTATTGACAATGTTATTATCGATAGCTCGGAAGCAAGGGGCTCGAGGTGTCCGCGCGCATATGCATCGTGGCGGCGAGCCCTCGCTAAGACCTGCTCCCATTAGAGGGCTGCCCAGTCCCGCCGGTCCGCCGGGGGCGCTGCGGGGGTGGCAGCGGTGGCAGCGGCGGCGGCGGACAGCCCGCGGCCGTACGACCCTCCGCCTAATCCCACGGGGGATTACCGCCAGCCGTCCCCTCCACGTCTAGCCACCCCGACCCACTCCATCCCATCCCATCCCATCCCATCCCATCCCATCCGACTCTTCCCCGCCGCCCTCCAAAGCATGGAATGCAACGGCTTCCTTCCCGTCCGAGACAAACCCTTTCCCCGTTGACGGTCCGGGTGAGACTCAACCCATCTTCTCCGTTTTCCCCATCCTCCGTACATCCCATTCTCTGCCCTTTCCGTCCCCAATCTTCGCCATCCCCCTTCCACTGGGCAACTTGCCGTCCACACCATTCCCCGTCCACCCCACCTCCCTGTTCGCCCAAACCCCCATCTCCCTTTCCCCAACCCCCGTGAGCTCTTTTTGCCTTCCTGTCCTCGGCGTCCTCGTCTGTCCTTCTCCTTCCCCTCCCCTGGCCGATATTAATCTTGGGCGCGCGCGGGAGTTTATTGGCCGAGAAGGAAGTTTGCGAAGATGTAATCCCGGCGAGAGATCTGGGCGCGGCGTAGCGGCCGCGTCGCCGGCCCGAAATATTATACTTCACAAAGAACAGCATCCCTGGATTTTTGGGAGCAATTGGAAGTCGGGATCAGAATCTCGCCGGGCGGGGAAAGGGACGGGGGGACGTCGGGGGAGGGGAGAAGGACGGCTGGATTCGCTGTGTCGCAGTTCTCAAGCGACGGACTGTGGAGCTTCGATGGACGAAAACGTGTCGATACTAGATCCACGTTTCTTTTTTGTTCACTGTTATTTTGTTTACGTTCTTTCGAATATTTAGATATATGCTTGAGAAAAACCTTTAAGATTTCCTTGCAAGGAAGTGCGGAATGCGTCGACTTCTTTGATTATTTATATCGCTTGTTTGGCATTCGAATAAATAAATAAATTCCACTCAATAATGGGCTTGATGTTATATGAGGTGAATTGCGCGACCAAGGCCTAAATGAGGGAACCACTCAACCAAATATCATGAGTTTGGACGCAACACCAAATGTTATATATAGCGTTGACCTCTTCCTATTACAGCCTTTATTGGAAATTATGCATACGTAGCAAAACACTTCGTAATACTAATATGAATGTTACACCACGTAAATCATCTTCAGCATGAAACATACTGAAGAAAGAATTGCATACTAATTTGAAATTGAAATTTGTAGGATATTTTTGTTGAAATTTTAAGAGTGTTGATGCGATTCTGCGATTGCTGTTTCCCTAACGCATTTAGAAATAATAGTCTTTCATAACCATTTATGCAGAATAGTGATGCTCTTGATGAACGAACAAATGTATTTCTAATATGATATTTCTTCCGTGATGCATTCGGGGAAACAAGAGCTTCCGAGAAAGAAGGTACTTGAATGACGAGGATTATGAGGTATATTACGGTTCCCTCGATGGTTACCAGCGTTTACAACTGGACTACTGAAAATATTGGCTCTTATTTTATGTATGTGTACTTTCTTTTTATGAAAATTGTGAGGCAATAAAAGTAATAGGAGAAAGAGCACTCTACTTCAGAAGAGGAGCTGCATCTACTATTTCACACATTACTACCCTAAGTAATAAAACAACCAGTTCTAAAAGTGCTATAAAATCCTCCAAACATGCTCAAAAATAAATATGGAACACTTCACTAAAATTTCAGTGTATGGGAATTTATTTTTAGCACTTTCGCTGCCCATTGCCACACTGTGTAGCATATGTGACAGAACCCTGCAGCAGGACGTGTGAGAGAGAGAGAAACGCCGAGACCACTTGCGGCGGCCCATCCAGAAGCTATGGCGAAGGGCCGTGTGGAATTTTCTTATTACAATATTAGGAAACGCGGAATGGGTCAATATCGCTTTTAATCAGGAAAGTATGTGTTCTGGGTATTTGATATTATAAGACATCGTGGTTATACGGGTTTAGTCGTTTCATGATGTGAAAAAGCACGCCACGGTTTCCTCTGCTATTAGAAAAACTTTAAAATTTAAAATTAAAATCACTTAAATTTTTTTCATTTTTGATTTATGAATAAGAAGCCACAAGATTGTGTGAGTATCACGGAGGCGAAAAGACACTCCGTGAGCGTTCTAGATAAACTTGATTGTTTTTCATTAAATGTGTTTTTCACGCCATTCAATTTTTAACATTTACTGTAAAGAATTGAAAATGATAAAAAGTCACGAAATAATAAAATTCTATCTGCACAAAGAAGAACAAAAGGAGTGCCAGGAGTCAAAATTTTGCCTCTTCTCGTTCTCGTAATAATACGAAATAAATACTTGGTTTATTTTTGACGCATCAGTAGGAGTCATTAAAAAAGATAACTTTAGTATAAATGATGCTAGAACTTTCACGCTCTGTTGGAACTCGCCAGACAGTTGTGACGCAATGCAGAGGTACCAAACTGTTAGCAGCGCCTCACAGATGTTTTGAACTTGCGCTTCGGCCGGGGCCGTTTCAAGGGCTATTGTGAGGGCAACTTGACGGAGCCCGATGCGCTGGATGGCGAAACACTGCGAAGGCCATCTGCCAGCGCTGCGGTTGATAGACATTCATCGGTCGACCGCCCCAACCTCCCCCCGCCCCCACCCCCGCCGCCAACGACGAGGGTGGAACTATTGCGGCCAACGGTCGGCCGTTGGGGGTCAGATACCGGCTGCGTTTCCCCCAACCGGCTCAGTTTCTCCCAAACGCAACGCAGCGTCTTGAGGCAGGAGCTCCCCAGAGGTCAACTCACCATTACACGAAGACGTAGTTAAATACAATGTTTCTCTGAGGGAGTAACCTGTTAACGTTTCACAACATGAACGATTTAATGGCCGTCGTGATAAGCACTCATCGTGGTTCGTGACGGTGCACGTAAACGTTTTACAGTGGACAACCTAAATGTGTTTTCCTCGTAATTACATAATGCAGTCGTAAATGAGCATTTATTAAGATATTAGACCTATCTTTATTAAGTGTAACAAGATCTGGGCAGTAAACCCTGGGTTGGTTGTTTCTTGGTTGGTCGCTTGATTGCAAATTTAATGTCCTGTCACCAATACAACAATGAGAGCGGAGATGCTGAAATACAGTGATGCAAAAAATAGAAAAAATATATTTAGTAATGTTTGAAAAAGTTAAACTTCGCAGTGTGCAAACAATGTAGAAAGTTGTGTACGTAAGAGTAAATATCACGTACACAAGGTCTAAAAGTCAGTTTATGAAAGAAAAAC